AGCTCATGGTGAAGACAGCGGTAAGTAAAACAGAACAACAGATGCTTAAAAACAGAAAATATTAAGACAATAAAATAATCTTAAAAAGGTGGTAAAATTATAAAATAAGACAAAGTTGAGATTAATCAAAAGTAAGACCATAAAAAACATTAGGAGTGTCTCATCATCTTATTATCTGCAAAAATAAAGGCAAAAAAACTTAACACAGGTAACACATGCTTGAAAAATGTAATTTAAAGGAGGGTCAAACAGGTCATTTATCAAGTTGTGTGATGACCTGGGATCAGGCTTTGAATGACACTGTTGTGTATTTCCTGGGCCTTACCAGACGTCGGCCTTCCTGCCGTAGCCTTCTCCACTGATCACCTCCGGACTCATCCAGTAGGGGGTGCCGGTCACTGAGCGGATGCCGGTGCCAGAGATGCAGATGGTCTGAAGCCTCTTGCTGGCGCCAAAATCTCCAAGCTTCACATTGCCCGCTGAATCCCGCAGGATGTTGGCACCTGAGAGCCACAGTTGACATGGAACACATAAAATATTTGAACTCATCTTCAATCATCTTCCTCACGTGGTAGAACCCAAACATCTCTGTCTATACATGCATCTCCTGTGTGAACAGGTTTGTGTATTTAAACAGCTCTACCTTTAATGTCCCTGTGTACGATCATGTTGCTGTGCAGATAGGACATCCCCTCCAGGATCTGTCTCGTGTATTTACGGGTCACATTTTCCGTCAGGGCCCCGTATGCCTTCAGCTGGTCTTTGACTGAACCCTGATAATAAAAAAAGGCATCCTTTACATTCAACTGCTTTAAGATGTCAGTGCAACAACTAACAGACTGTGAATACACATTAGTGATATGTCCACCAACAAGCTTCATCACTTGAGATTTGAACCAAAGATGCATGAGTGAAAGAGCCTAAATGAACTCTTCACTAGATGTCTCTCAACATACTACCCCCACCAAGGAGGTTATATAAGGAATTTCCGCAAAACATGGTGGAAGGATGTGGTATAACATTTTGGTGCTGATCTGGATTTTGTTTTCTGTCTTTTCTGAATAATACATAAAGGTAAAGGGGCTGATATTTACAATTTGGTGCAGATTCAAATAAAAATTCAGAACCAGTGAATTTAAATGTGATTTCATAAGAAGACTGTTGGGCCTCGGCAGAGGTATGTACTCTAGTACTTGTTTTATGTTTAGAAGCAGGATTATGCAAAATAATAGAACTGTATATGTATCTATAGAACTGATTTCCATTAAAATTAGCAGACTACTGGAAAACCACCAAATGATGAGTCTTTTTTTCTATAGTTTTCTGGATAAGTAATATGGCTACACACTGGTGACAGGGTTTTATTTGTCATTCATTATTATTTGTGGTGGGGTTCTGTTTTTATTTTCTCCTCCAGGGGGATTTCTTACCTGACCTCACCCATGAACCAACCATTGCTCTGAACCCTGGTTGAACCTGTGACATGGAAGTTGCTCGGACTCACCCCCGGCATGTACTCCATGAAAATAGTGAGGGTCTTCTCATTGTGATCCCTCAGACATCCGTAGTACTGAACAATGCGCTCGTGATGCAGGTTTTTCAGCAGCTGGATCTCACACTCCAGAGCACTGACCTCCTGCAGAGAGAAATTGAGATGTAGAGAGATACAGTATCACAACTCGGATCTCAGAGATTAAACATGAAGGCTGTCATGTCTCGACAGCAGCTTTATTCATTTCCTGTTTTTGTTTGCATTTTTCAGGCATGACAATTCCCTGTCGTCTCTCTCAAACTGATGACAAACATAACTTCAACAAAGGGATGAAAAAGAGTCATTTATGGCTGCATGTGGACTCTGCAAAAAAGTGACACCTACAGCAGAGAGTAAATAAAACTCAGCAGCACAATTCCCCGAAACAAGTGTGTGTTTATACTTCAGGGAAAGAAGCCACAACATAGAGAGAGAGAGAGAGAGAGAGAGAG